AAAAAAGGAGTTTGTCATGTTTTTCATAATTAGAACAACGCGATGTAGATTTGTTAAGCTGTTTATTCGTTTTCATTATCGATATTCTCGAGGCAGCAATTCTTTTTTATAATTTTTGAAATTGATTAAACAAACAAATTTATAAAATAAAAGAAAGACAAAAAGTACTAAAACGTGTCAACATAGTAAAGCGGGATAAGATCGTCTTAATGGTTTGTTTAGTCAAATATACTGTAATGCTTAAACAAACAATCTACATGATGTAGTTGGTTCCTTACAGGATTGAAGCATATATGGATTACATTGTTATCCATATGGTGGAAGGGGAATACCTGATTTTTTACAAGAGACGGTATTAGAAATCTTTAGAGAAAAAGGACTAAAAATTAACTCAAAGAAAATACAGTACAGAATGAATGAAGTTAAACTACTAAGCGTTACAATAGATGGAGAAAACGAGAAACTATTAGAAATTACTAGAAACGAAGCGTTAGAATATAGAAGACCAGAAAACATCAAAGAATTGAGAAGATTTCTCAAATTGGCCAGATGGTTTTTTAGAGCATTTATTAAAGATTTTTCAAGAATGCTACAGCACTTACAGAATGCCTGAAAACAAGCAAGAAATAGGAATTGAGGGCAGATATGTAAGGCGGATTTTGAGCATGAAAAATTTAGAAATATTAAAGCATTAAAAATACCAAATTATAAAAGGATGTTTCGACTAACTTCTTATAGAAATCTTTTTTTTCCTTTATTCTTTTTTTCATGGAATTTTTTTGTATTATGACGGATTTTTCCGTCTTTTTTTTAACCCTCTAAAAATGCATGATCAAACTTCAGATTTGAAAATCGAAATATTAGAAGTATATTTAACAGACAGACATTTGTGTATATAAAAGAACTAGGGTAAACAAATTAGATTCATATTTGTCAGATCTAAAAGATTTAAAAATTTACAAAGAAATCACCTATTTTTCCAGATTTATCTGACAAACATTTAATCGACCGCTATAATACTTATACAAACATGGACTTAAAAATTACTTTTTAAAACAGCCTGACATGTTATCCCTGGTGAACATCTTTCTCTTGACGAATCAATTTGTACATTTATACGAAGAACATTAAATAAAGTTTTTTCAAATGAAAAACCTAATAAATGGGTGTTAAGTTTTATTCAATATGTGACTCTGAAACGTCATATTTGCTTGATTTTCAAATAGTTAAGGAAACAGAAACTTTACATTTGATGTTTTTGCTTGATTTTTAATAGTTAAAGAAACAGAAACTTTATATTTGATGGTCTTAAATATGGCATTATCATATTCAGGTGCTTGGCGGATATTATATATGATGATTTTTATAATTCAATAAAAATATCACATAATCTATATAAATTAAAAATTCACAATAATGGTACACTAAGATCAAGCAGAGATGTACCACATAAGCCTATGCAAATTTTACCAGCTAAACATGACACCATAGTAAAAAAATTAGATAATATTGTTTATTTCTTTATTTTTCATGATAGCAAGATAGTAATATTTATAAGTAAAGCCTTCAGCACCGAATATTTCATAAATAAAAAATGTAACGTTTGGATAAAAGACAGAATAACAGTAAGAAAACAGAGATCTGAAGTAATAAAAAGAATTCTTGAAGCAATAATGAGTTATAATGCTAATATGAACAAGGTAGATAAATATAATCAATCTATTTCATACATTAATTTACTAAGAAGAGCTAAAAGATGAGACCAGAGACTTTCTATATTCTTTTTAGAAGTAATTGTACACAATACACATATTATTTGGAAGTTAAATAATATTGAAAAAAAGTTTAAATATGATTTTTTTGTC